AAAACGCTAGAGCTGTAATAACGGCGAATGAGTGGTCCGCGACAGCCGCGTGCGGCGAATCGATTGCCCAAAATCGTTCCTAACGCCCATCGCCCGAGATGGAGTAGTATCCACATATGAAGAATGTTGCAATGCAATGCAATAATGAAGAATGCATATGTCCGCGGAAGTAGGTCCCAGAAAACCCAGGTACAGGTGTGGGAAAGGCAACTTGTAAGAAGTTACATAAGCTCAGGGAAAATTTGGTGGTTGCATATTGAATCGACTGAATCATGGCGATCCCTATTCTAACTAAGAAGTCTAAGCATTTCGCTGTATTGGCAAAGGTGTGGAGCATGAGCTCTGGAGTTGAAACTTCCGTGCAACGGAACCCTTAGCTCCAAAGCGTGTCAAATGCTAACGGTAGCCCTGCGATGAGGTCCTTCTCCCTTCCACGGATGCAGCACGCCGTTAGTTTGAGGGTGAAGGACTTCGATGACACATTCAATTCGCCTCGGATCGTGTCCGCTTCCCACTGCCCAAAAGCCATCGCTGCAAAAAAAAAGAGAGGGATCTGATCAGAATTCGAGAAATTTCGATTACTTAACCACACTGGACTTGGACTTAAAGTGAAGCAAAGACTGTTCAGTCAATAGTTTTCATCTTCAGGTAGATGTAACGAACCCGTTCAGTTGGAATCGTGCCGATGAGCTGAACGAGATGTCACTAGCACAATGGATTCGGCAGAACGTGAACGGTCGCACCGCCAGAGATGCACTGGAAATCGCCGCTCGAGCCACATACGGTGTAGAACCAAGCAGGCAAGTTCGATATTCACACAGTGGCAATAAAGACAGAATTCTGGATGACGATATTTATCAATGTGACTTCGATCAGAAGTGATTGAAAGGTTGTCTGATCACTGAGAAATTCCGAATATGTCCCAGCCGTTTTCGTTGCCCACGACTTTTTCTATTTCGCACTCATGGATCAAAATTGGTACTCCCAATGATATTCCATCACCCTGTGAGGGCTTGGATCGAGTTGCTTAGCGATACAAGAGATTGGCTTAAGAAAACACGGAAATTCCGATCAATACCAGCTCTCCAGGGAGACGGGCACTAGGAACTATTTTGGGTAATCGATCCGTCGCACGCGGCTGTCGCGAACCATTTGCCTCGTTAGAACAGTTCTAGCATTCTTCATACAGCTCAATCAATATGCGATTATTATTTTTGGCATGATTCTACTGTTACTTCTTTTGTTCCTGATTTTCTTACTTGCTGCTGAATTCTGCTACTTTCCTTCGCGCGCAACGTGCCTTTCGCTGCGAGCGGCCATTTCGTTCCTACTGCACCACACCCGGCCCTCCTGCATAACACAGAAGTACGGCAGTGATGGTCAATCCAAGATCATACGCTTTTGCTAGTGGAAGCCTGCTGAAAATTCGCTGTAGACCTATACCAAACTCAACGTTTCATTGTTCGTGATGTGATCAGAAGTTCCTGCAAGTTTGTCCGGAACAGAAGCTTCGAAAATTTGGCCTTGGCTGATTGGAAGTTTAGAAGTCGTACCTTCCTTTACGCCCAACTCTAGCCCTGAAACATCATGGTTCCCACCCGAAAAATTCAGGTTTTTTGAAGTGATTTTTTTCTCTCCGAGACGATACGGTTTGCAGAGTGAACATGCTATATCATCTCACACTTTGTAAATGCACAGGGACATTCGCTAATTTGTTCGACGTTAGTGGTGGTGGTGGTGGAGTTCAAGCCATGCGAGTGCAGGTGAGCAAAGGAACATCGAACTAATTCGTCTCTATTCGCCTCTATCTAAAAGAAATTCTAGGGTGGAACAGAGCAAATCTCTAAACGGCTTGCCGAGGAAATAGGCAAAGACAAAATCGTTCTCCATCGAGTAGTGGAACGATTCGAAGTGGACGAATCTAACGGTATCACGAGGGTCCATACCCATTCGACTAATGCGCCATACGACAAGGTAGGCATGTTGTGCGGGTGCGTCACGGTAGCTGACCTTCCTAACTTCTCAACAAACGGCTTTAACAAAGGATGATTCAATAGGTACGAATAAGAAGGGATAAAGTTTCTGGCGTTAATCAATCCCGTCTGAGGGATGCGCCCCAGCATTCGACTTCCATTCAGAATCGTAGTGATGGATTGAATGTGTATGTGGCCTATACAATGGTTTGCGGTTGCCAGCCATGCTTTTATCCTCCCAGACGAGTCTAGTACCAATTCACCGACCCCTGAAGGATGGAAGGCTTGGTTGGCCTAGGCACGAATGAGCACTATCATTCGGCAAAAATCATTTTGGTGAAATTTATTTTCATCAAAGCCATCGATGCAGAGATCACTTGGCAAAATTCTAACCATAAGCAGTAATACCTGGATCGAGTGGATGGTACTACCATTGCTGAAAAATTACAAAGCCACTGTCTTACATTCAGTGAACGGAATGGCATCGATTAATCCCGTGGCAGATTGCGCCACGCGTTCGCCTCCTATTTAAGATCGCCGCGACTTTTGGAGCTGTATTCAACCCACTTATTAATGATGAACCCATCTATTCTTTAGCCCATAAAGGAAATGGTACCGAGTAAGGGATTCTAGAAAATTTCAAAGTAATTTCTTTCCAATGTGTGGGTGGGGTTTTCTTTCCAAAAGTGTGCATACAAAGATTCTCATAACTAAAAACTTCAGATCATATACAGTTGCTCACAAGTCATCTGTGCTGTTCCACTGAACCAGTGTGCAAAGATATCCTTCTCCCCTCCATTGCCCTATCTTAAGGTATTGCCTACTCATATGTAGGTGTAATGACTACGAACATCTTTTCATTGCTATTTCTTAGCAACGTCTCTTCGAGTCAGCCATGCCTGGAAACTTGATCAAATTCCTAGTCACATTTGAAACGGCTTTCTGGAGAGAAGAAGGTTGGTCCGGAGAAGTGATCAGTACTGGTCGTACAACGTCTCCAAATGAGGTAGGGGTGTAGATGTGACTCCTGTAGTTCTCGTCCATATACTTGTTTTCTGATTCAATCTCGACTCTCGATCTACAATCTACAAATCGACGAGTCCTTTAGGTGCTCCCAATTATTTGCACCTACGACTTCACTTCGAGCTCTGGGATCCCGGCTATGATAGGTTTCATGAGCGAAGAATACTCAGGTAAAAGTTTGAAAGTTTCCAATGATGAATGCCCTTCTTCATTTCACGCCTGTTCCCAGTCACAGTGAATATGTTCTCAAACATTCTCTCCTGAATAGCCTCTATTCACATTCGTAGGTATAGACCTTACCCTCTGTGGTAGGCAATAAACAACTATGAAGAGGGACCTTCATTTGTGGGAGCTGTTACACTTCATCTGTATCCTGAGGAGTTTCTTATTCAGACATGACCAAAGAGGATCGCTGTAACGCAGTCGTTCGTGATTTGATGCGAGTTTTCGGTGAACGAGCCATGGTTCAGTTTTTAGACTATGAGGAAAAGGTTAGAAAAATCACCCTCGTTAGGTCCTAATCCTAAAACCCTTACTATTGTTAAGCTCATTTCCAGTTATGGAGTAAGGAACCGTATATTGCTGGAGCTCCGAGCATTTTTATGCCCTGTGGAACGATGGACTCATGGCTGGTGAGACGTGAACCATTCATGACGTAAGATGGATATTCCATTTTGAAGTGAAAAAAGGCTGTTGACTAAAGATTTCCCAAAATGAACTTTTCTTACCCTGCTTGACTTACACGGCTATCTATTAAACTCTCGTTTATCTCCTTACTTAAGCATTCATTTTGCCGGAGCAGAAACTGCCACAAAATGGATCGGTTGGATGGAAGGAGCCGTCGAAAGCAGTCTTCGAACAGTTCATGAAGTTTTCCATCAACTCGGATATTACGATAAGATCAGTTACACTCTTCTGGTCAGTACAACAGTAACGGCTTTTCCATTGGTTTATATTCATCATATATTAAATATTATATTATTATTTAAAGAGTGTGAGGTACTCTGCGATACTTCACTCTGTGCTGAGTCAGTTAGATTGGAAAATTCTTGAGTTGTTTGGAGACATCCTACAGCTAAAGCTAAATTGACAGAATGACAAAAGCATTTTGTTTATCTGCACAAATTCTAAATCGGCTCCCTAAAGTATGAGGATTATTCTATCACAGAAATCCAGTTACCATTTACTTCTACTGACTTGAGACAAAAGGGCAATGCCGATTTCTACATACTTTCTCGATATTTATTTCGGATCAAGGTACTTTGCGATCATGTGCAACCATGCCGTCACCCAAACGAAAAAAAGGCTCACCCAGCAACTTGTTTACTTTCTTGCTTTGCTCAGAAATACTAGCAGGATCTTGCATTGAATCATCGTTTTTCAGAAGGGTTCAGTATATGATAGCGATTACAAGCAGCCCCTTGTGACCTCGAAACACTACGTGGAGAGGATACCATACTGGTAAGTCTAACAATGGAGGTATAGGAAACAACAGTCCGTAGAAGTAAGAGGAAGGCTTGACACAAAAATGGTTCCTTTCAGGCGACGAGGAATTTTCTTCTTCACGGTGCTGTGCTTGGGAATTCTTGTGTACAGCAAAAAGTACAAATTATCTTATACAGCAAGAGCCATGAAGCCTCTGGAGAAAGCAGTTGTCAAGTTCTCCACCGGTATGGACTGGCCGTAGTAACCCCGACGAAGTGAATAGATGTGTAAATGTGTAGAATATTTCGGATTAAAGAACTTCTTAAAAGCTCCTTACAATCTCGTAGAAAATCAAGAACAAAAGCCGCTGAAAAAACTACTGATGTCTTTTAGCAATAGGAAGGTCATTTTTTGCCAACGCGGTAGGTTCGAAAACTACCAATTTTGATCTAGCTGTTCCCTCTTTGTTTCCTAACCCCTAACCGTCAGAGTTGATCGTTGCTTCTCTGCTAGCCTCTACCCATTTTTGCTTAATTTATGAAACGTTTTCGATTTGTGAGACATATTACCATGTTCATGTAGCTTGACTCATTTTTACTCCTTTTTTCTGCATGGGAGCAGATTTGCTGATTGGGGAACGCTCATTTCACGTTCCGGTCTAGTGGTGCTCGCCTCGCTTATGAGAATTTGTTCTCTCATCGTCAGCTCGACTCTCTTCACTATTCTCCCACTTTCTGGAATATTTTTATGTCAAAGTAAGACTTTTGATCCAAGTTCCACTTAGGTAACCACCCCTCTGATAACGAAGTGTTCAACACTGGTACTTCGTTAGCCTCTACTCACTTCTTTGCGGACCCTGGTACTTAACCCGTAACACGAATTTTCTGACAACGTGAATGACGTACTTTAACTCAAGCAGTACAGAGTCCAGCAGTCCAGCTCAAGTCAGGATACTTTGGTTCATTCCTGAGGTTCGTGTCTAACGCCAGCTTTTTTCATCCCACTAGTCTAACTGGGATTAATCAATAGAAAATCTTGCAGAGCTTTCCAAAGTTACACCTATTTACACGTTGAGAAATGCGAAAAAAAGTTAATGGCGAATATTTTAAGACATGTTTTAAAGTGATTCATTTTATCTACACATACATGAATTGTTTCAAGCTTATTTCCAGAAGCAGACAGTTTTTTGCTTGTCCGCACTAAGTAAACCGTGACCAGAAGGATTCCAATTTAACGAAAATACTGCATGCCTAGAAAAAGGTAAAGTAATATACTTTAACATTGGAAAGCTAAATGTGAAACTCACTCATGCCCTCCCTTGTGAAGAACCCTTTCCAACTTTGTAGACTGTACGTTCCAAATGAAGACGTGTCCATCCGCTGACCTAAAATTTTGAGTTTCTATCGAAGATATTTGCGTTGGCCGTCCGGCTTGCCGGCACGCCCGGCCGGCGGATTATAAAAGCAGCTCTTCGAGTTTAATGAAATGGCGAGCACGATATGAACGTCACTACAGAATAGAAAACATAGATAATGCCGAAGGATTCCTTTCTATCGCAAATCTTTTTTCCACCAATACTAAGATATCAATGCTACAAAAAGACCATAATTCTCCTTCTTGTTTGCAGTGTGATTGTTTTTTAATGGTACATTATTTGGCATGAACACCTTCGCTCCCAAACTAACTGATTAAGGGATTTAAGTAAGCGCTTATGTATAAGCATTTACAAACATCCACCTGATTTATTGTCCACCAAACTATTCAAAAGAATCACATCGTTAACAGAAGTGAATTCATTGGTAACCCCAAAGAACCTATCAGGCGAGCTATCACCGGCTTTAAAGTCTACATCAAATGACAGGAAATTTACTGTCATTGGCTAGACGGTCGCTGCTAGTGAAAATGGTAAACGAACAGAAGAATCAAATAAAGTTACCCAGCAGCACAATAAGCCATCAATGGGGAAAGAACGCAACGAGAGAGATCAGTCGAAGTGCGATAGTGCTCAGCGCTGGAACAAGAAGCGTGAATGAAAACATTTTTCTCGGGTCTATTGATTATGGCGCACCTGTATATATGCACAGTTTGATACTTTCGAACGTCCAATAAAGATAATGTATCGTCTCTGGTAGAGCACAAAAGATGAATGCCATCTATACAAAAAAGATGATAGACAATCAATTTCTCGACCAAAAATGTTGAAAAACACCTGATGACATATCCAGTGAGGTGATTTTCCCTGCCATTTCTATAGTATGCACCGGCTCTTGATTACGCGAATCCCAAAATCGAAGTTTTCGATCGAAGTGTCCTGTAAAAAATGATTTCAACATAAATGGGTTAGAATGTCTAAGAAGCATCGCAGGCACTAAGCTCTGCTGTTAGCTTTCTAGAAGGAATACATGATCCCAATAGAGTTCTACGTCGCTCTCTGAAGCTAAGACAAAATCAGATTTAGACTAGCCGGCTTAATGAAAGTTTTGCTCAAGGAAATGAACAAAAGGGAAAAGTAAGCTAATGGTCGCGTCCAAGCTCACCATAACTAGGCCAGCACAAGTATAACAGGGGTCGGGCCAATACTTTCGTTTGAAAACCAACCTGAAGTGAACGTTGCTACCCCTTTCTTGATTCCCGTTATATCAAGGATAGTAGATCCTGGGAATACGGACCGGATACCTAAAGTTTTGCCACATTCAGGAGAAAGAAATGGAAAAATCTATGCTAGATTTCACGTGTGAAACCATGCTCACATCGCTGGCTCCGCACATCCCATATCTTGATCAGACGATCGTTCGAGCCAGAAACTACTTGCGTAGACGAAAGAAATCGAGCTGATGACACCTTATCCGTATGTCCCATGAAGGAAGTCTGCAAGATACAGTATTCCAAAAGTTATTTGAGCAGAATGAATAGGATAAACCCAGAAATTCACAGTGAGTTCTCACAATTTACAAAGAGAACGCGTGAGAGTTCATATAACCGATACGATCAAACGGACTGAACTTTGGTGGTAAATACTTTTGAGATGATAGGAAATCGAAGTAGAAAGAAAATATGTTTACCATCTTATGTTTAGCAAAGGTTATTTCTTCGCGAATTCTGTAGCTTACTATCTAATAAGACGACAATGCTCGGCTATGGACAAACAAAAGACAAATTTTTCGTCCGTTCGGTCAATCATGCGAATATCGCAACCCGGGAAACTGTGACATGTTTTTAGGGACTAGGGAAAGTCGAACACTGATTGCGCCCCAAGTTTTACCTGAACTTGCCACCTAACGGAGACAGAGAAAAATAGATGAGTTTACATTCACAGCTTACACGAACTCACCATAAGTCGCTGATTGTCCACGTTCCATAGCCGGACACCATTGTCGTTACTAGCGCCGAGCAAGAGTCGGGACTCGGGATCAAAGTCAAGACGTGTCACTGAATGGTTGCATCCAACCAACGTGCTCCTGTATTCCACAATACAAGAAAACTGACAGCAAAGAATAGAAACAGCTCACATTTTCGAAGGTCTTCCGCGATGGTCCACTCTCCATAGGCGGACTCGTTTATCGCTACCTCCGCTAGCAAACATTTCCGTTGACAACCATAAGACATCGTAAACTTCGCCATCGTTCGCCTCCTAATACTACCAACATGATTGCATCAAAAACACATTTACTGTATTGTGAAAGATATACCACTTTGAACACAGCCTCATGTGGTAAAGCATCACCCAAAACGACGTCACCACCGGGTAGACTTGATTGTTGCAAGTTTTGTAAACTGAAAAAGTTTAATAATGAGGAAGTGAGGTATCAAAGGAAATTGGTATTCTTTATATCTGGAGTTATTTGCCACAACAGAGTCTATCAGAAGAAATTTCATCATCGAACAGATTGAGCATGACTCTGCACGCACGGTGGGTCTTTGTTAAGTTTTGAGAGCATAGACCGATTTCTGAACCTCAATTTTGAAAAAACAAGGAAAGAGGATTGAAACAACTAACACTTTATCGTCTTTAGACATGTCTTCGCAAGCTCGAGCTATTTCTTCACGTATTCTTCGCTGTTGGCGCCTATAACACTAATGAGATAACTATTATACCGTTCGGAAAGTACCGGCCAAAAAATTCACAGCCCAATTTTTTCTGGAATTTTCTGGAATTTCCAGAAAGTTACTCCTCATTTGTATGCGCGTAGCATGGTCAACACCCTATTCTTTGTTTCTTAACTTATAAAGGTCAAAGCGTTTATCCAAACCCGATAAGTAATTTTCACGAGTTTAAATCCAGCCCCTTCCCTAGTGAAGCCCGTCTAAACTCAAGTAGAAGAACTTCGCCTTAAGGCTCTGAGACTCTTTTGAAGATTGACCCACCGTACTTCTTGCTATTCAAGTTAGGAAGAATGGGGTAGCTAAACTTACTCTTGCTGAAGGTCCACCTCCGTGTTGAATAGATTTGCATGTTGTTCGTTCAAATCACGTATTTTGTTGATTAATACCAACCTCTCCTGTTGCAACTGCATCATTTCGTTCGTTTTTGTTTCAAGCAGTGCCTATGAACATGGCAGTGAAATTTGAAAGATTAGTTGAGCGTCGTCAATAGATACTGTTGGGTGAAATTCGTACCGAAAGAGCAATCCATTCATCGTATAACGACTGTTTATCATCAGTTGTCTTTTTGAGTAGACATTCCAATTCACTGATACGAGCATAAAGCTTCTTATTTTCGAGAACCAGCTTGTCTCGCCTAAAATGGTTACTGTACATTAAGGCTTCTCAAATAGAAGTAACTCTATACATTCTGGAATCTAAGAGTTTTCGAAACCTAAAATTTGGTCACCCGAAAAGTCAATTGATAAATATGATTACGTTTACATCCCCGTGCAAACTCACTCCTTCGTGACCGCATTGAGGACAGCGTCGTGTTGGTCCAGCCTTCGATTAGCGTCGATGAGCAACTGATCATTGCGACTTTTCTGCTTGTAAACTTCAGCCAGCTCTTCCCGCAACTGCTTCAGCCCTACTGATAATGACTGCGAGGAAGCCGCACTGGAATCAGGTTAGGCTGATGATGAGACAAACGCAGACTTAGTATATCTTGCTAGTTCATTTCATAGATTGCCAGTACCACAAAAATTTTCAGCTCTGACGTTTCTCTGCTACCAATACCCGTTTCACCTGGCGCTGTGATTCACTAAACCCTACTCTGAAACCACTGCACGGTTGGAAGGGAAGGGGCATCATCGCGATAGGTTGCTCCGCAGAATCGGCGGAGTCCTCATCAATGAAGTTATGTTCGTGGATACAACATTATTCAGGCTTTGGCAATTCCGTGAGAGCAGCCCTACCAGCGGTGCAGTCAGGTGAACCAGATGCGGATGACTGGTTGAAAGACTCCCCTTTCTACAAAAACGTAGCTTGGTGAAGACAGTTAAATAATTTTCCGCAGCAAAGAGTTCCGCTCCTGTTTCTTACTGATAAGAACTTCTGTGAGTCAGTGAGTCTAGCATGTACTGATCAAAACTAAAAAAACTCAACTTCCATGTTCGGTCTTCTTGAAACCTGGGCATTTTACACAATGTTTAAATACTGCTTTGCCGTACAGGTTTGTTATGGCTGAACCGCTTTATTGGTCAACGTTTCGACTGAATCGTCGTCTTCAGGACCTGAAAATAGTTCGAAGCTCCTGATCTGTGACTTACCCGACCAAGCGCCCAAACGCGCTAGGCTAGTTGCAACGACTCCCGGAAACTAAAATACGGAAAAGTTCCAGCAAAGAGACCAACCTTCTGCGGTTCCACCAGCGTTACGTCCCACTCTATGTGAACAACAAGGGATCAATGAGTCACCATTGATGATCGTAAGATAAGAACTGTGCGGGTGATCTCAAAGTCCACAAAAGGGAATGAACGGCAAGAGTTCACTTGTTATGGTCAAGCACTCATTTCGGTTGTTCAGGCCTGGATTTTTCGTGCGAATATGTAACGCTTCCA